GTGTTATTATTCAGCTGTAACAGCCTCCGACACTTTAGCCTTCCAGCACCAGCGGCAGCCGCCGAGCCACGGTGTGTGTCAGCTTCCGTGGCACCAGCGTCTGCCACAAGTGCCACTCTGCGGCTCTGGAGGATCTGAAGGACAAAGTGGCCCTCCCTGCCAACTGTCATCACAGTGTGCTGTCGCCGGTGAAGGCCAGGCTGGGTATAAGGCGGCGATAATTACATAAAAAAACACTGTGCTTTCTCTGAGCTGCAGCGTGGGTTTGAGGGAGATGAACTCAAATTATAGCCATGTGAGTTGCTGTCTGATTGAATTCTTATGGTGCAGGCTACAGTGTGTGCTCATAATTGGCTGTTGAAGTGCGGCCTGTAAAATACCTTACCCTGCTAATTAATCTTAACAGTGCATTGTGATGAGACTGACAGACTTCAGTTTATGATACAGAAAAAAAAACAAAGAAGATACGCACTTTCTTGTTAATGCAGACAGAAATATGCATTACTGCGCTTGATAAAAGGCTGGAAATATATTCAACTGTTCAATATTTGCTGTTCCGAGTTGGTGAGAGGTGGAGCATTCACAGTCTATCAGCTTTTTGGCTCCAGATAAGCCTGTGTGATTGCCTGGCACTATCACATCCATATGCTAACAACATCTCTCTCGCTCTGCACGGCCTGAACAAAGCAAAAGACCAACGGTGAACTCTGTTCCTCACTCGTGTTTGTTTAACCCTGGCAGCTGTTTTGTTGAGGGGGTTTATACAGGCCATACGTAAACTCAAATTTAATTTAGGGACTGATGAAAGCCATCAGCACACTTCTCATAATAGGTTTCGGATTGCCAAATCACACTGAAAACAGACACAATAGATAATGTGTGTTGTCTTGTATCTTTGGGCATGCACTATCCCGCTTTTTTTCTCTCTAACCTCTAATTAAGTATAACATGTTTGCCATGTTACTGAAATACTGTCCTGATATTTGCAAGGTGTAACTTTACTAAAAACGGAATAATCTGTAAGACGTATATACACTATGGCTGCCACAAATCATTTTATAGCAATACACAAATTTGTATTGCTTAATCTAGAAGGACATTTGAAATAATGACAAATGCCCAGTTTACCACGACCAGAAAATGATTTCAAATTGCTTAGTACATGCGCCAGTCAAAAAAGAACCCAAAGTAGTCAATTTGTAATGATCAGGTACTTTTTTCACATTTTAGAAGCTGGAACCAGCAAATGTTTGGTTTTGTTACTTGATAGATAATTATTAAAACTGTCCTTGCTGGGCTAACAGAGATGGCTCACCCAAACTGCCTACTGCCTTCTAGTATTTTATCTCTGTAAATCTTTGTCAATCCAACAGCACTGGATTCTTGTTTAATGATTTCACATCAAAGCCACCGGCAGCAACCAGCGGCAGGACCATATCAAGAGAAAGATTGCACAAATCTTAATAACTGAACCTTCTTCCTGGCCCACAGTAGGTCCGTAGTTACACTCCACAAAGACCTCAGCATGTGATTTAAGAGGCAGGTGTGCTTCCAAGCAAAAGCGACCCACTTGAGTGTTTGCCGAACTGTGTCAAAAAACAACCAGCCAGCGGCAGCATGCAAGTCATGCTTCCCACAATGTGATAAGAAGGTTAGACAAGGACGGTGAGAATGACTTTAAATCTAGTCAAATGATTTAAAGTTTTCTGTTAAAAAAAACCCAGTTTAAAACAACCTCGGCAGGTTAGACGATGAGAGGCAGCTCAGAGCAGCGAGGCTAGGCTCAGCAGAAACGTCACAAGACTGGCTCCCTCCTGGAGCGTGACAGCCAGGCGGACACAGAGCATTCTTTCCACTCTAAGGAGAAGGGAGAGAGGGCAAACTCTTTGCCCTTACTAACTAGCTGGGTCTATACCAGCTCAGAACCAGGCCTACTGAAAGACGACAACTAAAACACCACTGTCACGACAAAGTACAAGGGTCAGGGAAAGGAAATAGGTTACCTGAGAGGGGTTATGGATGGATTACAAGGTCCTCGTTGTTGTTCTTTGGCTGGAAACGACTATCTGGAGTTAATATGTCTTAAGACATGCAAACAGGCAGCTTAACAAAAAGCAATTAAGTGTTTCAGGTTAGTACTGACTGAGCAAGCCCAAAAACGAGAATTATCAGTAGTGCCGGTATATAATCTGCATTTATTTCTGGCTAATTAAGTAGAGACACCATGTAAAAACATTTGTAACAGTTAATAGCAATGGTGAGAAAGAAGATCAGGTTTGTTGAAACGTCCTTGAGCTAGACAATGACTCCGCACCAGCTCTGGGAATGCTATTGTGTTGCTGACGCTGACTTCAGTACTCTTTATGGAGGAAGACGTCCTTCGCACGAGTAACAAAAAATATACAGTTAATAATGAAGAAAAGACTGTGTGTGTGTGTGTGTGTCTATTAAAATGGCTGAAAAAACTGAAAGGATCCACGGAAGGTCCGGGGCAAATGGACGTGGTAGAAGAAGAAACTTGAAGACGTTATGCTTCTCATCTTCAGTTCTGAACTGAAAGGAGTTAAAGTGGCACTTCAAGTAGTCATTCTATTACATCTTGTCTTAAAAAAATTATTTGCCTTTGTTTTTACTACCAAGCGTTGGGAAAACGTGTGTGGCCCATTCAGTTTGGCTACAACGCTGTGAGAGGGGCTAGATGCTCAGGTTGCAGCCTAACAGTGCTCAGGTTGTGTATCTAGGGCTGAACGATTAATCGAGTTCAAATCAATATTGCGATTTGAATGAACGCAATTAGCTAATCGTGAAGATGGCAATTAAAATGTAGTTTAATTATACAGCGCATCTGACCCCTTTTTAACAGTCATGCAGTTACAAATTCATCAGCAGAGCTGTCCGGACCGCTAGTCACCAGCTACGAACTTTACTAACACAAAATGTGGAGATGGGTCCGGCTATACATTACCAAGCTACGAGCCAGGCTAATTAGTCTAAGAAACGAGTCCGCTCCTCACTAAGGTTCAGGGCCAAAAATCTAGAAGGTAACAGAGGTAAAGCTAGCTTATTATGAGTTTACAACAACTATTCAGTCAATAAACAATGAAGCAATCTCACTTTCTCTATGTCTCTGTCTTTGCGTGTGCATGGGTGATCTTCAAAGAATGGTCAAAAATGTCCCTGTGAATATCGAATAGTATTTTTGCTTGAAATGCCCTTCCCTAGTTGAAATCCTCAAAGACGTTAGTGCCAGTTCAAGAGTATTAACTGAAAGATGGTGTCAGTTGAAGTGGGTGCAGTGAAAGCAGTTGGAGTTTAAGAACAGTGGAAGTTGTGGGTGAAAAGGTGAAGGCCGTAGACCTGAAAGGATATGAAGTGTCAGTCAAAATGTAAGCACTAAGTGAAGCAGCGGTGGGGGTGGTTGTAGTCAATTTTAGTGTAAGCACAACGAACAATGGAATGAGGGGGAGTTACAAGAGCTGAAGGCATTTTTTGTTGTTCAACAATGAAGACCAGATACCTGCAAGGGCTTGAAGTGTCAGTAAAAATAAAGACACTGAATGAAGTTGAAGTGTCACTTTAAGTCAAGGAATTGCTAAAAAGAGTTCAGTGGAACTTCAGGCCCTGAAAGGAGTTGAAATGTCAGTCAAAGACAAATGTGTTGCTCGTGTCAAACAGAGTGAATCAGACTACTGGCTTATTTGACTTTTGCCGAGGCAACCAGCGAGTCCTTCCACAGCATGTTGCTGCTCCCTCGCACTTTCTTTCCTTGGTCACCTAACAGAGCCTTTAGATGACAAGCTGGTGGTGACAAAGTGCAAGTTCAATGTACACAAAGCCACAGTGCAGCCATGACCTATTTTATACCTGCTGCCTGTAGCAGTTAGTAGGAGGCAACATTCACTCCACTCCCATTTTCCAGCCACCGTCAGGCCAAGCCAAGGTCAGGAAAGACATTTTTCTGCTGTTTCCACGTGTCAGTGGCTCAGTGCTGATGCAGTTCTGCAAGAGCAATTTCCACGATTTACTTCCTCCACAAGCCTCAAATATTTTGATGTAATCCGACATTCCTGCTGCGAGGTGGTTAAACACCTCAATGAAAAATATGAATGCCACCAGCCCAACACAAGAGGAAGTGCCCTCCACGGCTCTGCTGAGACTTGTGCCACGGCTGTCATAACAGGAACATCACATGCATGCCATGAATCACCAAAACGGTGCTGGGAAGCTGTAGCACTGAGTACGCTAATGGCCTTAAGGGTTAGACTAGCTGCTGGCTGGCGAACAGTCAAGTGCTGAGACAAAGATATGTGAGCACCTTGGCGTTGCATTCGGTGGAGTTTGTGCTCACTCCACACACAGACACAAAACCATCAGAGGACTCTTACACAACTCCTAGGTGTGCGGTCACACAAATGCAGACATGGCATATTCAGAGAGAAAGTCCCTGGATAAAAGCAAGCACATGCCCCAAATAAAAGAAAGAAAGGTTAACAGATCCTTATCTTGGGTACAATCCTAAACTGCACAAACTCCCCTGCTCTTTGATTTCAAGCAGAAGATTCAGTTTGTGTGTCTTGACAGCAGGCACCTGCAAGCATTAAAAGGTTAGTTAGGCAGGCTCCAGGAGAGCAAGGGTCTGATTAAAGATAGGCGTCAAGGAGGGCCGGGGAGGACAGAGGACGGGGGGTTGTGTTCCCAACTGTTGCATCCGACCCATAACTAGGTCAACTTTCATGCAGTTACACATAACAGATATAACAAAAGAAGCGCTCTCCTGAGCCGTGAAACGTGGCTGTCTCTCTTTCCGCGGTTGGATAACACCAACACGATGGAAAGTGTAGACAGCAGCAGGGCAACACCAGGAAAAGGCATTTTCAGAGGGCGACCTTACTTCTACACAACTTAAGTCACCTTAAAACAGTTAAACTTCTATTTCCAAGTCTGACAACAAACTCTTCTTGCTAACAGCTATATCCATATTAGAAAAAACGTGCACTTACCAGCTGTTTACGCTGCAGCGAGAGACAATGTTGACATGTAGGCAACTTGCTGTTTTTACCCGCTTGATATATTCCGTATTTCTGTCTGTGAAAACCGAAACAGGTTCAACCAGGACGGCGCGCAAAAGAAAAGGGCACTTCGAAATACTCCTTTCAAACTTTGCTGTTCACTTCTTCGCCACACTTTCATCTGAAGTTGTCGGCAGAGGTAGGCGCCATGTTTGTGTCTGCGCTGATAGTTTTGTTGGTGAGCTTTCTTCCTAAACGTCTCTTTCAGACTGGAACCGCCCAGAGAAGAGGAGAGGCTACAGGGGCTGGCCTCGGGGAGCGCTGACAAGCTAAACCACATAAAACCGGCTTTTTCCGGTATGTCTTTTCAAAGTAAAACATCTTGATGGCGAACAAATGCGTTGCAGCTTTCAGAATAAAGTTATTATTAGTAGTAATATGCTTCATAACACAATTATTAAAATTCAATATATAGTTAGTGTTAGTAGTATTAGTATATAAAATATATTTTGTATTATGTGTATTATGTATTATACATACCTGCTTTTTTATATTTCATTTATTATACATAACTAAATGTACTTACATTGTATATAATACATACACATTAGATATTACTGACTCTGAAAGCCACAGTGCCACCTACGTAAGTCCTGTTTTATACCTCTTTAGACTTGTTCTGCTGAAACCTGTGAATTTCCCATATGTCAATATAGTCATATCTTCCAACACCGTTTCTGCAACGCAAGTCTCATTCACCTAGCCAAACACACACACACGATGTGACGCCATGGTGTGCAACAAGCACAGTGTAGCAGCTACGTATCTGATAGGGTGTGAATTTAATGCCAAATTCACCCCATTTCTATAAAGTTGTTTTCAAATTGTTTCTCACGTTTTGTTGCAGGTGGTGAACCATGAGGAGGACGACATAAGCTTTCAATACCAAATAAGTTGACAAGATGCTGACAAACAGTGGTTAGCCCTATATTTAGTTGTTTTGATCAAAATTATTGCTAAGGACAATTCTGTAGTAGCTGGATCTTGGTAGGGACATGTCCCTTCTAAATTCTACGGCCTTGATTAGGCCGATGGCATGTATACCACTCAGGAAATCGTTTACGTAATGAAAGACGAAGATCATGTTTAAGCTGTTTTTCATGGTACACATTTACAGCTTCTTTATTAAAAATTATAGCAAATGTTGCATATTTTGTGATGGTGACATTGTTTGAGTTCCTGCCATCTGAGTTTTCACAATGCCTTTACTTATTTTTGCTCCATGGTTTGCGTAGTTTGACCCCCCCTTAAACGCAGAAGTTACACCGATGTAAAATACAACAGGTGTGAGAAAACCTTCATATTAGTATCAGTTGTGCTGCTTTCTCAGAAACCCTAGTAGGCTTAACCCCAGTCCTCTGTTTGCCCTTTAATCCTTTCACCACTTCAGAGTAATTACAAGAACATCAATGCATAAAATGCAAGCAGGACTTTTGCTGCAGCAGCTGTGTTCAGTTTTTATTTACAAAGTGTTTAATACAACATTCAAGAAATTAGATACAATCTCTTACCCACTGCAGTTAGCAATCCTAATTATGTACACAGAAATAATTCATGTTCTTACTATTTTAAATTAAAAACCTAAACTTATGCACAGAAAACTAATTTAGACTGATAGATGTAGGTTATTTCACAGCTATGTACAAATGTGTTATGTAATTATCATGGCAGATGATTTCAAGGATGAAAAGTAGTTTCTATATTGATGTAGTTAACACTTTATCTCATCATCTATCGGGGAGAACGTGATCAGTTTTGGCAGGCTGTACTCCTCCTTTGGGGTTGAAGGCGTCTCCAGTGTGTCCAAATCCAGTGAGAAGACCTTGTCTGTGGCTTCCACCAACTTCGCAGGCTCCATTAGCCAGTCTCTGTCCAGACCAGAAACAGTGTGATCTGACAGAAGACACTCGGGTGTCCTCTTCCTGCTTTCCATGAAGTAGTCATCAGAAGCCTGCCGGATCTGACTCAAGTGTTGACGAGTGGTTAACGGCGTTTGCGTGGCCTCATTCTTCAGGGCGGGTATGAGCAGCTCGTCGTCCTCTTCACTCTCCACATCCACCACTTCGTCGAGGCTCAGACTGTCGCAGCTAGACATTTCAGGCAGAGTTTCATGGTCGAGTAAGTCCCCCTGCTGGTCAAAAGGGGGGCTGCTGCAGCTGGTGACAGCAGGGGTGGCACTGGAGGGGACGCTCTTGGGAGCCTCAGGGCTCAGCCACACATTGTGAGGCTCATAGAGGGGACTGAACTGCCCCGTTCCACTGCCACCATTAAATTTGATAGACTGCCCGATTTTCTTAGCTTCGTCTTCTTCAACTGCCTTACGCCAGGAGCTCTTCACATCCTTAACTTGGAAGAAAAATTAAAAGACAACACATTTTCAGATTTTTTATTTTACTTCTTGCGAGATTGTCACACCATGCTAGTTTCCTAAAGAAGCTGAATTTAGTCCACATTTACGCTAATTGTTTACTCTGTAGACCAGTGTATGTCTTACGTCTGTTATTTTTCCTTTGGTTTCTTGGCATCTGTGCCTGGTTTTGAGGTATGTTGGTACAGTGTTGTCGCCCTGCCGCTTCTGTCTAATATTTTATTCCAGCACCCATTCCCTACAGGAGGCCTTTGTCTCCTGCTAGGCCCTTACGTGACCAAGAATCTGTTCTGAATCGACCTGCCTGGTAAAATAAGTCATTCTAAATATGCTCACACCTTCATGCATTTGCACAGAATATACCTTATTTAAAAAGAAGTAATTAAAAAAGGGCAGTGGGCAAATACAACAGCTCACGACTTACTCAAGCTCTCAGGTGTACGTGGCAGCTGCTTTCTAGTAGAGAAGGGATCTCCATGAAGAGCAGTGAGAAGGCCCTCCAGGTCCAGACTTTTGACTCTGCCTTCAGTGGGGGTGGTTGTAGTTAGAGCATCTGCAAACTGAGACACACGGGAACTGAGTCTATATATTCATAGCCCTAGTTGTGTGCCTCATGAAGTTACTTCCCTCCCTTATTTGAGAATTTAAGACAAACACAAATGCGGACACTTCTGTTAATTTGAACGTCATCGCTATACCTGATCAGCGAGGTTATCACATTCCATATCTAAAATCTGAGTCTTGTTCTTCATGGGAGACACCTTTTGGTCGACACTGGGAGTCTCTCTCACGCTCGCCTAAAAACAAGGAGAGGTTTGTTAAATATGGTTTAACAGGAACTGAGTTCCAAAAGGTGGACTAAATCCAATCAACACCAGTTTACTCGCCTGAGGTGGTGGTGCTGATGGAGGCGTGTCGAAAAGCCAGTCGAGAGAGGTATTCACTTGTAATGGCGCTTCAGTGGTGACAACGGGACTTCCAATCCTGTCACCTGGTGTTGGGCAAGAGCTGTTTCAAAGACAAAAAGCTTGATTTTTGTACTGAATCCGTTCACAGGAATGTGTTTTTTTCCTTTCCTCACAGTGCAGATGGGCTGAGGCAGTGAAAGCAACACAGCATCTTAATGTGGCCTTGGCTCAGTGCTCATCCCTGAACCAAGTCTATACATCGCCCATCACCCGTGGGTGGGCTACCTCAAAGTCAGGCTTTTATTTCTCGTTTAATTTAGTAGCTTACAATCTATACAAGTAAAGCAGTAATTAAACCAAGGACTGATAAATCCCGAGCTGCACGGCACCTCAGAGAAGCGGCATTATTTCTTGTTAAGGTATATGTACATACACTGTCACGACCAAGTCTACTGTACATGCTCCAGGTTTTCTATAGCAGTTGTTCTCAAAATGGGGTATGGGGACCCAGCAAAAAGAAGGAGCCATTTTCAGTCCATTTCCATCTGTAAGTAACATGACACGGCTCTCACACTTTCTCTAATAAAAACATCTAAAAAGCAAAAACTGTATCACACTGGGGATCCTGGGAAAAACTTCCAAAAAAAGGGTCCGTGGTGTAATCTGTGGCAGTTTAGGGGTCCTTTGTGAAAATGTTTGAGAGCCACTCAACATATAAAATGAGTCTATGAAGTCAGTGCTAAACTTACCTCCTCTGCTCTAAAAGTGGCATTTAAGCTCAATTATTGTGTTTCTTTATAACCATATTCATGCAGCATTAAAGTGTCTGCTCCGTATCTGTCCGTGGCGATTTCCCTCAATTCGCCGCGGTCATCAGAGAGCATGGATACTGTAGGGAGGACTAGTGACGGACAGAGCACTGCTCAGGACTGCCCATGTATCTGCCTCCCAAAATCCAATACACCAAACACTTAATACATTATGATTACGAGAAATGTTAACATTGAGTTTACATTTCCCTTAAGAACTGTTCAAAGAAAGTGTTACCTCTTCAGGTTGGAATAAGTAGAGCAGATGTCTTCCTGTGATTTTCTCTCCGCAGGCATTTCTGAAAACAGTGTGAGCAGCATGATTAGGAACAAACTGCGTGCTGTGACCAATAGAAGAGGTTGCCTAATGTCATTTAATCAGGTTTTGCTCACCAAGAAGCGTTGCAGGGTACTGGGAGAAGACACTACTTCTGTAATTAGCGTCAGCTGTCGGTTCAAATGACAGCTGAGCCATTGGTGAGAGGAAGCCAAGAGCCTAGAAGACATATTAGACTAAGATATACAACTACAGTGACATGCCTCAGTTGAAAAAACATTTTAGTACCGTTATGATCCACCTGAATGGGTAGCAAGGGACAGTAATGTGATTGACGTCTGTCTCGAGTTTCTGGCACTACTGATAGGACTGACAGCAGCAAGCCTATGATTGAACAAATTCAAAAATCCCAAAGGAATACTCACTGGATCTTCATTCAGGAAAGAGACTAGGGGTGTGTCTGTCAGAGTATCCATCCACTTCCTGTCCCACACCGCCTCCAACTGTTTGATGTTGCTCCTCACCTCAGGAATTCCATCCTTGGTAATTTTCTGCCTGTGGGAGGGGATTAAAACACTGGTTAAGGGTTTATAGACAGACATCCACCTTAGAAAACTAAACATTAAGCCATATTTATGTTGCAGCATGCAGACAGATGGAGAAAGTGCATCAAGTGAGTGGGGCGGTTAAAGTGTACCTGAGGAGGTGGAGGTCCTGCAGCACACGGGCCATCTGCTGACATTTCTCCTGCAGGTGCTGGGAATTAATCTGGAGTGTGGGGGCATGAGACACACGACATCGCTCCTCCTTCAGGAGCTGCAGCGCATGGTTCATCAGTTCCAACACACACAGGAGGTTCAGCTGGCCAGCCTTGTACACGTTCCCTGAACTCAACTGGAACACAAGCGCACACAAACATATCGGTTACATTGAAACTAGTCTGTGTGATGACTTACTGCTTATACTGCTGTATAGCAAATGGACAGAAGATGGTTTGGCATCTCCTGCAGCCACAATGTTTGATGGACACAAGAGTCAAATAATTATGTGTTGTGTATAGGAATCAGCTGATCCCTTAAGCGTGATTTATAGTCCCGTGTCGGGTTTATGTGCGTACCCTATGGCTAGCCTCACCCTCACCTGATGTGGGAGCTGTTCAATTCTCGCCAGCAGACACTGGGGAATATTCAGGCTTCGATTCGTCCCATCCAGGACGTACTGATCTACATCTCCCTTCAAAACACAATCCACTGCATGCTGCTCCTCTTTAGTAGCTGACAGCATTCCATCAATTGTTGACCACAAGGGCCGCACCTGAGGACAACCAAGCACTTGTGAGGTTTTGAAAAGTAAAAACATCTCTGCACAGAACTTCATTAAACACACACACACACACACAGATTCAGAAAGGCAGGATTTTGGTTATCAGCACTGTTTAAGTGTCTTAGGTTTTGTAGGAAGTTTTACAAATCTAACATTACATACCCCTTTGGTCTTAGCGAGAGAAGCACCCTCCTGTGTAGAATCACTGCTGTGATGCCTGAAAGTTGACAGTCCAGTTTGTTCAGTGTGTCTAAGATCATTGAAGTGAGAAGTACTGAGAAAATAAAGAAAGTCATACATACTTGAGTGGCTCATCATACTTGGCACCCTCTGCTCGGCGGTCCCTTACAGACTTCACCAGGAGCCTTGAAAAGAGTGGAGGGAAAATGAAATGAACTGACTTCCATGCTAAACAAATTACCATAAAATTAATGGTTCCACAGCAGGTCCATGCTGGAAATGCAAACATCTACTCTTCTCAACATGACTTAGCTGTTTGAGCACATGGCTTCAATAGCCCCTTTTCACAGCAGACATTATGGCATGTTGCGGCAGGAAAAGCACAGGTGTAGGTGATAACAGTATAAACGAGTGCAGTCCATTTAGGCGGGATAGTTTCAGGGTGCTGGTATTGTGCATACTGACACACTCATGGAACAGAGCAGACGTTAACTAAATTTGTTCCACCTGTGCTTTTCCTGCCACCCACAGACCCTTATTAACCATGGATTTAATTTATCAATTAGGTCACACGAAACAGGTGGGGGCTTAAACAAACAGCCAATGAAACATGCAACATCATGAGTAGTGCCATAAGATTGAAACTTGAGTGCTTCTGAAATAAATTAGCAGGGATAGAAAAGACTTTTGTGACGCATGCTCTGATCATCACAAATTGACAGACAATCACATGCTTCTGTGAAGAAACTTATCACTTGTGAGATAGTTAAGGTGTTTGGTAATAAGCCATAGGCTCTCAAAGGATCTTAAAATGTGTTTAAATGAGAAAAAGGGATGCATTTCTGAGAGGAGAAGCAGACTTAGTAAAGGAGAAAGAAGGATTTCAGGCGTTAAGTTTTTACAGAAAAAATAGATTTTAAGTAAGGGTGCTCCGATCGATCGGTCACCGATCATAATCGGCCGATAATGGCTTTAACTAGTTTGATAGATGGTCACTAAAAAGGATGATAAGAAAAGCCGATCAGATGATGCAATACTCGCCAGACAAATTTTCAACGGCAGCTAAAATGTTTCACTAAGCTGTGTGAGCGGTTTTCAAAGCTACCTAGCACCAAAGTCCTTCTCAGACAAGAAGGGATTAACACGCCCACATAATCATTTACAATTAGAGTTGAGCAGCAATCAGACAAGTGGAGCAACAGGCAGGAGCGAATATGAGAAATTGTCGCGGCTGTTTATCTCACTCACGCCACCTGCAACCGGAGTTTAACAGACACATCAGGCAGCGAGAGAGAGAGACTGATCCTTCAGTGTGAGTTTCCGGTGCCACTCAATCAGCTGACTGCATCTCTCTCTCTCTGTTTTCGTTACAAAAACGGAGACGTTTTGCTACGTTTCCGCCTCCCGTCCAGATTAAAACGGTGAAGATGTTTGTTTGAAAACGCAGCTGACCCGGTGGACAAAACAGAGGACTTTATAAAACGATGACACACACTCACATTTGGCTTTGTGATTCGGTCTCATCAGTCATGCAAAGCAAAAACATGCTATTTACAGAGTTTTAGTATTTTTATTAAAATATAAGTACTGTGTAAATAACACTTAACAGTTAGCCTAGCCTACTGTGCATGTCACTGTGTCTGTCCGCCGCCGTCTCTCGTACTCCCGAGTTACTTTCACTTCCACTTCATTGTCGGTCAATGTAAAAAAAAAAAGAAAAGAAAAGCCCGGTGTGGTTCTTGGTCTGTATTAATTTCTTCTTTCGTCAAATCGTCTGCTACGGCGGAGTGACCATCTGCTTCATGTTTACACTGGCACGCGCATGCCCAGTGTAGCTACCTGAACGGCCACTAGATGTGTTTTCAGTCCTTCTAATATAAACAGAGATCAACTCTGATACGAAGCTGAAACGCTGCTGTGGATGGAGAAGATCGTTTTCGTTACGAAACGGTTTTAAAAACGTAGCAGTGTGGATGTAGCCTCACATTACCCCACTCCTCTCTCTACTCATCTCGTGTCAACCCTCCCGTATTTTTCCGTTCTCACGCGGTTTCCATCCGTTAAATGTTTCCCTGTAAATCTCCCTTATTTTTAACCTTTATGAAATCAAATAAAAACTTTGTTTGCTATTCTCTCCTCTGGTAAAGTGGTGGCAGCATGCAAGATATGTAGACTGTGCTTCCTGGACAAGTATTAAAAATGAAAACAATCCACTGATATGATATAAGGCCTATAGCCTACTAATGGCAAACCATATGAAATTATAATAATATTAACAATTGACTGTATAATATGGAATTTACATTGTAGCCTATTTTTATTTAAATTTTCCTTATTTTCAAATCTCACTGAAGGCAGTTTTGACTCCTCTCTGTAGCCCTTCTCCCTCTCTCTGCTCCTCTCTCTTCCCCCAAAAGCCCACAGAACCTGCCTGAGCTTTCCAGAACAAAAAGCAGCTACTTCAGAGTTTATCATCGACTCATGATGCCTGTGCTCCTTCATCTCCTAAATATTTTGGCTACAGCCTTTTTTGTTGCAGTTTTTATGCTTGTAGGAAATTTATTTAAATAATTAAGATGCTGTTTGTTCTGTTTTTGTAGTTTATTCCACAGTAAAGCTATATTTGTTAAGCTATACGATGTTCACAGTAACTAGACAAAGGCTGCTATGGTTTATGGTCCTGCTATGGTCTCTAACACAGAGTGGAATTTGTTGCCCATGTTTCCTGGCAATAAAATAAACAGCTTTCATTTCATGATACTTTATCATCTGTTAACTTTAACACTTAATACATTGTTTTTAGGACCAATTAAATAAATACACAGTATATTGTATAATGCTACATGATAAATAAAAGGCTCCAAATAGACCCAGTGATCGGTATTGGCTGATACTGCTTTCAGCAATCGGTGATCGGCCCAAAACATCCTGATCGGAGCACCTCTAATTTTAAGAATAAGGTCGAGCAGAGCTTCTGTACAGGCAATGCAAAACAAGCATGGGAGGGATTAAACACAACAATAATAATAATAATAACACAAAGTAAACGTGGCAGATTCGTTAAGATATGATGTCAGCTTTCTGAAGAAGCAGCCATGTGTCTCTCTAAAATCAGACCCAACAACGCCCCTGGGCCTGATGGCCTCCAAGGAAGGATGCTAAAGGCATGCTCTCAACAGCTTAAAGGGGTTCTCACTCAGCTGTTTCAAACTTTGCTGAATTGTGGTGTTTTTCCAAACTCATGTGAGAAATCCACAATAATACCGATGCCTAAAGTCTCTAAGTCTACAGCCCTTTGAGACTTTAGACCAGTGGCACTTACTCCACTCTTAGCCAAGTGCATGGAGAGAGTGGTCAGTACCCATCTTATGTCCTCTGTTGGTAATCAACTGGACCCCCTTCACTTTGCTTATAGGTCACACAGAGACACACAGGATCCAAAGGTGTGTTCCCACCGAAAGCAAATCCAGCATTTTGGGCGGCTTGATTACATACAAAGTCAATGCAAAGACGCAAATTCCTGCGTGTATTTTTTTATGCAATTTTAACTGTGGTGTCATTGTTGCATATCTGTTCGGAGTCGTCAAAGACAAATTTCCACTAAAAGGTGGACAATAAAGTCTAACCTGTGCTATGTTTAAAAAGGTTTACTAGAAAGCTTCCATCTACAGCCTGTTTCTACCGAAGTAAATATTAAATAACACGTAACTGTCCAGCTGCCAAGATGGACTACCGAGGACTTACTGGGCTCGTTTTTGGTAGTCACGGAGAGAATGATCCTGATTCACCGCAGCGTTTAAAAACCTGGTTTTCACCATGTCGTGTCTCTTCATTGCCATGTCTGGGGAGGAAGCGGGAATCGCTGCAGCCTCGGGAACCCAGCTGCCATCTGACAATGACAATATTAAAGATAATTTTATAGCCTTTTGCATACCAACTCCAGGGCAAAGGAAGTGAAATGGGATAAAATGAAACAATATTCTGTTACTCAAGACTTTTGGATTGAAGTTAAATTGTGAATACAAGTAACTAGTATTGAAAAAAATATACCTTCTAAATAGACCTACCGGTCTTGAATGTCTTCATTTCCTGCAGCATGACATGATGGGCCAAATCAAACATCAAGCTGATAAACTTGGGGCCTCCAGGTGAGAGGAACAACGATGCTAACACTTTGGATCCTGCATTTGCAGTTTCATCCTGCACAGTTACAAACAAATGAATGTCATAAAATTATATAGCATACTACTAAAAGGACAGAAGGGCGTCTGTGGAGAGAGAGCAGGATAGCAAGCAACAAGGGACCCGGCCAGATTCTAGCTGGGGTCATTGTAGTTTACTTGGTACCCACTTTGGGTGCTTGTGAGTACAAAACTGGTGACAGATGAAGAGAATGAAAATAATATTAAAAGACTCAAATTCTTACCATTATTTCCTTCAGCCAAGCGCAGGTAACTTTGCGGAACTCAGCATCTGCTTTGTGGTCCAAAACAGGCCAGCAGTGCCTAACCAAAAACAATATTAAGTAAGTTTCCTGTAAACTTTTATATATGAATGACAATAACATTGTTTGATCACATCAAACCTTACCTGTATGCCTCATTAAATCGTGTCGGGTTGAGTTTCTCCAACAGGAAATTGATTACTATGTAGAAGGCATCCTTGTTTGGTTTGTCAAACATATTCCTGCAAGCCATAACACAACCATTAACCTAACGATAGCTGGAATAAAGCTTAACGCCAAGAGTAACGTTACTGTGAATGACGACTTCAAATGTAACTTAAAGTAAAAGTAAAATTAACGTTGAGAGATCGTCATCAAAGCTAACGTCACATAAGTTGTGGACAAAAACTTGGCAGAGGCCTTCTTAAGTTAACTTGGCTAATATTAACACTAACGTTTCATGTTAAAGTTATCCACAATAAAAGCCGACTCACGGTCCCAGGTTCATGTGTTTGTTTTTGCCGGCGACTGTCGACTCCGGTTTAAATCCGAGCCCGAGGAGAGCAAACCACAAATATTTCCCTTTGAGCTTCTGCATCCGAGCTGGGTTCGCCATTATTCCGAGCTAACTTAGCTACCTTAGCTTTCGAGCAAACCGCCAATAATCCACCGGAAGTTGTTAACAAAAGGTTCCGGTGGGCGAATGCACTTTTTCACCAGTTTGTATGCTGCGTTCCAGGTCACTCGGAAATTCCCGACTTCCAACTAGAAAAACCATCCTGGAACATCACCTTAAGTCGGATTTCCTACTTGTGAACTCGGAGAAAAAAAAATATGTACCCCGAGTTCACGAGTATCAGCTGAATGACATCACACAACAATGGAAGCACACATTATAAATGGTAAACAACAACCTAAAAGGCAACATAAAGCATATTTGCATGTATTTAATTAAAAGTATAAATACTGTCATATAGTGCATGATGTCACAGAACGCTGTTACAACGCTGAACAGCAGTGTTAGCTTGAGAGGGGTCCACCTGCAGACCTCCTCCACCGTCAGGCCGGTCAGTTTTTTACGTCCCCACAGGACGTAACGTGATGCATTCTCGGTTGTTTCGCTACTCTACACATCGCGACAGCGGCAGCTGACTGGTTAGCATTATCCAAAACACTGAGTAAAGTCCGAATGCATTGCTCTTGGTATATGTTCGCCGTCAATATTGTACATCTAAATCACACAAATTACATAATGTTACACGTGTGTAAGTTATTTGTTGGTTATTTGTCGTTCTACGCCAACGGTGGCTAGCGTTAGCTCCTGAAGTATCAGGATTCATTTAGCTTTATTCCCTCCTTTGGATAACGTAAGCTACTCATAGACTGTATGTAGCTACAGTGTGTTCGTTTTTTGTAAAGCATTTCGCAAGGGCATAGGTTTGCATTTGTCTTAACATGTTGACGACGCTCAGGTTAGTTATTTGTCCAAAAGAAGATAAAATTATGTCGTTCAGACCGTTCGGTGTCGCTTTTCACACTTAACGTTAAACAGTGTGCAAAGACTTTGCTGGCTGTATGAATTGATCTTGGTTGAATTGAAGTTTATGTAACTTACTACGACAGTGTTTCGTACCCTTTCCTGAAGAAAGTTACCCCCCTGTCCTGCAGGATTTAATCTCTCCCCGCTTCAACACAGCTGATTGAAGCAGCTTCAGGATTCATAACGAGTTGGTAGTTTTGAATCAGCTGTTTTGGAGCAGTGAGATATTTAACACACACGGTTATTTAAACAGATATCCACATAAAGATACTACTCCTCACCACAGCCACTGTTGGCATATCCTAATTAGCGTGATTTAGATGCACAAATATTGATAGTGGTAGATATTTTGACGGAACATGCCAAGACCCATGCATTCAGACTTTTTTTCAATGTTCTGGATAATGCAAATCAGTCACTGCTACCAACTCCTTTTCTAACTGTGCAGTCTGTGTTTATACGGTGAATAAAGTAAAAGTATTATTATAGTAGGCTATTGTCTCTATTCATTTTTAAAAAGTGCATATTTACAAAATTATCGATGCAGGTATACATGTTGTATTGCATGTGTGTTCATTTTTACGGATTGTACAGTTTGACAGTCGACATAGTCCATCAGGGTTCTAGTTACGGTCTGAGCTCTTCATCATGCATCTGTGGGGTCAGTAATTCATTTACCAACAACAATTATATTAATAAGATAAACACAAACACGTTTTCCAAATGAACTATGCTGCGCACCGCATGAATGTCATTACGACGTGATTAATAATTAATATGATACCATAAAGGGCGGATTTGCGGTCTCTCCTTGAGCAGTAGTCTTTGTTGGTTTATTTCAGGCTTTTAAAAGTTGAACTTTGTTGCAGTATCGTACACATCTGGGGCAAATAGTGGGCTGCTGCTGTGTGTGTGTGTGTGAGAGCGAGAAAGAGAGAGAGAGAAAGTGTTGACCACGTAATGAGCAATGAAGTCTCTGTCCAGGCTTCTATTATTTATTCATCAATCCCGCCGGTAACATCCGTTATACTACACACTGCTACACTGGCACGTTAAGTGTTAAGTTAAGTAGAATAGGCTCAAATCAACCTGCACATCTGCATCTGTAAATAGCGTACATATATACTCCAATTTTAATTATTTTATAGTAATTTAATGTCTATTTTATTTGTCTACAGTTTGCTTCTGTTTTTGGTTTGTTTATGTTGATGCAACGAGTGAATTTCCCCATTGTGGGATCAATAAAGTCTATTCTATTCTTCAATATGCTATTTAGCGTTAAGGAATTAGCCTGCTAGTTTCCCGTTACAATGTTGACTAATTAATTAAATATAAATCAATGGCAAAAACCCTCCCCCTATGTCCACGTAATTAAACTTTATCATTTTTGAATGCGATTCCTGTCAAATCGCACGCTTTTATTTTGTAGCGTCTATTTCCTGTCCTGACCGGTGTTGTGCCGAATTCTGCCTGCCGAGAATTGCAGGCCCCTCGTGGGTGATAACGGTCATTTATGCTGAGAAAATAGGTGGACGCAAATCTCGGCAGGTAGTCTACAAAATTTGTTCTGCCGAATTATGCATCCACCTCTTTAGGTCCTTCTCAGACACGTTGCTGTGCTCATTGATCAAACAGCATTATCACCACATATATTTACTGAATGTCAAGAAATGGTACTTCTACTAAGTGTAGTAAAATATTAAAGACTCTAAACGTTCATAAAATATATACTTCGAATCATTTATCACCATTGATGAAGCCCACAAAGAATATTACAGCGTTTAAAAGCATTATTTGGAGGTGCATGCAATTCTCGGCAGGCAGGCAAAACTCGGCATAACACCTTCCTGACAGCGGAGGTCTGCAGTTGGACCCTCTTGGTTAGCTTGAATCAGCTAAAACACAAACACCACATCTAAAGTGGGAAAGAGCTGGACCACTGATTCTTTGGTAAGCAGTAAGGACCACTGTCGAGTCCGCCTGCCTTTAATTTGAGCAAATAATGACTTGTTTTCCTCCCGGTTTGCTAAACGCAGCCATGGTAACAGATGTTTTGCCACTTAGTCCGGCGTGTTCCGGAAGAAGTGACATCATCCCATACCGTCCATAGAAATAAGGTGCTAGTCAGCTGGTTACAAGAATCTCATATACAAGAAGTCATTTTCTCTGCACAAAACTTATTCAGTAAAACGTAAAAAATAAAATAAAATAAAAAAAATGGATGAACACTGTACAGCATTTTCTGTCTTTTGAGGATGACTATTTCAACTGGGTGTACACTTGACAAAGAGTTTGTCACGGACAGTCACGTTTTTCGTTCAGTGTCGGCGTCATGCGCCACCACGCACCCGATACGCTATTTCAAATTCCCAGTTCTGACCGGTCGGGAACGCGGCATTAGTATATTTGTTATGCCTGTAAGTTAAACAACAAAAAACACATTTATTGTTGGACAAGGTGAACTGGTTCTACAGTATCCTACGAACACGTGAATGTTACAGGCTTCAGGCTCGTTTTAATAGTTAATAAACAATTAGGCGACGACTGTTTCCAACCGTAGAAAAATATTGCATTGTACATAGAGCTCTCTCTGAGTAGTCTCCAACTTACATAGTAGCAGTCATTCATTCCTGTAAGTAGCCATCTGACCTGTCAGGACATTTAGCAATCCCAAAAGAGTTGTTTTTCCCCAGTTACAATTTGCATTTCATTTGTCCTGTAATAATATACTATATTAAGGTATTCTTTCACCCAAGTTCAAGTATAACATGGCTGTAGGGAATAATATAAAACACATTAAACCTAGACATAGATTTAACATTACAGTGTATTGCTCATATTTCATACACATTTATAAGCAGTCATTACATGCATACACTCAACACCTTAGTCTAGGGGCTTTGGGAAGGTGTTGCACTAATAAAATCACAGGCTTAGCATATGCAGAGATTTTATTTTTCCTTCTTTATTGCAGAACATACATTTAAGTCTCCACCACAACTGATTAGAACAGAGTAATAGAACAGAGTAATAGTAAGAAACAAATGCTCTTTTTTCTAATCATTCACATCATTGTAATGCTTTTAAAACCAGTTGGCAACACTCTGCCACCTTAGATGGATCAGACACTGATGAGTACTTGGAAATCTGAGCGTTGACCCCTAGGGAGCGAGCCAGGTCCTGGGCTGTCTGGTCTGAGGCCACAGTGGTTCCCAAGGCCACCAGCAGCCTAAACACAGCCTCCTTGTCTTGTACGGTCTCCAGAGCTCTACTGGCCACAGACAGGCACTGGGCCTTGCCCTCGAGATCGGGTTGGCTGTGCAGGCAGCCAGCGTAGTTAAGCACAAGAGTGGCCAGGGCAATGTGGATGTTCTTATTGCAGACGGTGACCAGGTCAGAAGCATGTGATAGCACCGTTTCACGCTGGGCCATGAGGAGGGCTCTACCGTGCCTGCCACTAAAGCAGTTACACAGAGTCCGCAGCGCCAGCATCTGGTTGGCAGGACGTCCCTCAGGCCTCATCAGGCTCAGCAGGTGGTTGCACAGCTGGACTCCCTCTGCCTCTCCACAGAGGGTCTCGTTAACCAGGGGGTGGCGCACTGCCAGCCTCATAATGTCCAGGATAGGGAACACAATGTCTAGAGTCCAGGGGTAAGGAAAGGGGAGTTTGGTTAGCAAACTTACATTGAGAATCTTAAAGCACGTGAAAATTACTTTTTTTGATAATTACTTCAAATCATTTCACAAAATTGAAATGAAAGGCAAAAAATATAAATAAATTTTGTAGGAATAATGTACCTTCAGGCCAGTGAGAGGCCTTCCAGAGCAGGTTTATCTGTTGGATGGTTGGGGGAGGATTGGAGGCGTCACAGACAGACAACAGCAGCCTCTCAAGATTTTCCAGAATTTCTTCTGAGAGCTTGTGCTCCTGAGGGGCGCTTCCATTCAGCTCCTTCACCTTGGCTGGTGAGGAAAGAACAATTCATTGACCCCACATAGAGAGGAAACTTGAAGGAGAGTAAGTGATTCTGCAGGATTGTTGATTTTTGAACTCAACCAAACAAATACACCTCTCCCTTTAGTGCTCCGTCAGAAGTG